TTTTTTGACTCCTTACAAAGTGCGGTAATGCGAAAACAATTTGATGCTGATCTTAGTCTCCCCAAAAAAAAAAATTTTTTTTTTGTTTGCCACCGTTTTAAGAACAGTATTTTTCCTTATGGTATCCAAAAAAAGACAACAACAAACACTGACGACAGTGGCAACAACAAGACGGTAAAGATAGAGAAGGAGGAGATGGTGATGATGATGCTGATGACGACGAAGGAGAAGACGATGACGATGATGACGACGACGACGACGACGACGACGACGACGACGACGACGAAGATGACAATGATGGTGGTGATGATAATAACGACGATGAAGGAGAAGTAGATGGAGAACATCAACGACAACAATTAAAGTGACGACAAGAAGGAAAAAAAATAATAATAAAAAAAAAAAAGAGAAACCAAAAAATATTCAATCTCTCAATTTTTTCGCTCACTTTTTGACATCTTTGTATTCTTTCGTCTTCTTCTTCTCCTGTTTCTTTTTCTTCTCCATCGTCTTTCAAGTTCACTTGAGAAAGGTAACAACTGTTGTTGGAAAAAATTTAAGATTATAATTTCTCTAAATAATGCATTCATCACTGCTAAATTTGTTGATGAATTTGAACAAGAATTGACGAAAAAAGGGCGTAGGTTTTAAAAGGCTATTATTTACAATGACAGCCTTCTCTAGTAGCTATAAAAAGAATCACCGAGTAACCGGCATCAGTTGACAGTAACTATGCTTTCAGTAACCCTCCTGGTCGTCCTCTTTGCTGTCACTGTTTCTGTAACTTTGGAAACCTCCCTACCGCCGCCTCTACCACCACCATTTCCACCGGTAATCCATTTGAGCTGTATTTCCGTATTTGGCATTGTTTTTTTTTCTCTTACTTTCTTCTTCTTTACTTCTCCTTTTTATTCTTTCTCTTCTATTGAAATAATGCTTGTCATAGCAAAAATAGAGTGACTGGAATAAGCAAAAAAATCTATCATCACTTCCATTTAGTAGGCTTTTCCAGGTTATACCTGATAATGATTTTTCTTACCTTCTTTTTTCATCTTATCCTTCCTATTCTTTTTGCTACTTATTGAGTCCCAAATATTAGCCTTACAGTATTTTATATCTAATTTTTTTTAGGATGTACCACCAGGATTTGATAAGGTTTTACCACCTGAAACTTTAGCCCGTCTACGTCAAATTCATCGTGATGACAAACTAACATGGAAGGTATTATTGGCTGTTAATCGTTCCAGTAATTTTTCACTTCTGTATAACCAACATCAAATTTGATTTACTTCAAAAAATCAGCTAATACCTGATACATTTAAAGGATGAATTGTCAGCATTCCAGTGAGGAAACAAACTTTTTTTCTTTTTGTAGTTTAAATCTTTTGTATTCTACCGTTAGGAGAAACTGATCTTTAACAGATGGTTTACTGTGGCCTTTTCCTTTTTTGCAGCAAAAAGAAGAAAAAATTGGGGCAATTCTTAACCAACTGCCAGATGAAATCTTGGATAAACTACCACTACCACCCGAGTTCGACCATTTACCAGACGATGCAAAGAAAAAAATTCGTGAAATAGGCAGAGATCGACAGCTAACGATGGCCCAAAAGCATCAGAAAATTTCTTCAGTCATTGGTGCACTACCACCTAACATACGACGCCTGATCCCACCACCGGTGCCACCACCAGTATTTGACCAACTTCCAGCAGAAGTCCGGAATCAACTTAAAGCGGTTCTCAAGGACGAATCGTTGAACTGGGAAGAACGCCATCGGAAGATTCATGCAATTATGAAGTCACTTCCAGAAGAAGTCGTTCGTGCTTTGCCACGACCACCACCACCACCACCACGACCATCAGTGTAAAGGTTATGTACTTTTTCCTCTTCAAGTAAGGAATTCCTCTTTTCTTTTTAACAGAGTAACAGTTACATGCATCAAAACTTTCATTAATTCATCATTGCTGCGCATAAAATACCATACGTTGTTTCAGTATTGAATAACAAGTGCTATTTTTAGGTTCCGACACAACAAAAATATGAAACTGAACAGTGGTCACTAAAGCAAGACGGACAGTAAAAAGAACACTTTAGCTTTACGAAAATGATCAAATCAATCGCTGTTTAATATACTTCATATATTCTCCATGTAATAAATTTTCCTCCATCTAAATTCTAGGTTGTTTTTACAGTTCAACTAACAAAAAAATGTTTATTTTAATCATTGTCATTATCATCGTCATCATTATCGTCATCAAAATTACAACAGTAAAGTGAAAAAAATTTGAATAGCCGGGATGCTGGTTGTTATATTATATTTCTCAAGACATTAATCAGTTTCTGACCGCAGAAAATATGAGAGTTACACTGTTGTAGCCAAAAACACAACAAATTACAGGACAGGTACGAGGGGAGAGCGTGGAATCGGACGATACGGTAATTGGAAATAAATTTTCCTAAACAGCAAACAATTAGTAATAAAAGTGACCGTTTTCAAATTGAACAGCAATAAAGCTGTCATAGTATTCAGTCAATGAGGGTGTTAAATTAGATAAAAAAAAGTTTTTTTTTTTTGCTGCAACGTCATCTACAGAAATCGAAGATGAAAAGGGGCACTACCCAGCCCAAAGAAATAGTGGAAATAAAGCATAAAATGTCGTTGTTTTAACTTCGAGTCCGATCTGTTGATAGTTATCACTGCCAAAATATCAACTATGTCACTTTCGTCTAATGATGTCATCCCCTTCTACTTGTGATTCCACAGTGTATGTACTTCAGGTGCGCAGAACATCCGTTGTTCACTAAATATGAAGATGGGAAAAAATCAGATGAAAAACGCCAAACTGTGTGCATCAGAAATTTTTTGTCATTTCGCCCTAGTAACAACAGGAAAAAAAAAATGGCTCATAAAATTGTGATGTATTATGAAGACGCCATATATTTCCCTTTTTTTTTTTTTTTTTT